TCCTTTAATTGGAGAAAACTCCCTACGCACCCTCGCGGGGCGGTAAAAAGGAGGTGCGACAACGGCTGCACATATTTTGCTCTGTCTCCCAGGTCGCCTCCTCAACCGGATGACCTTGCCACTGAACCTTCACGGATGCAATGTTCTTTGACCTTGGCTTTCTAACCTGCCTGTCCAATATTGCCACTGGCTCCTCAACATAGGATAGATCCTTGTCCAACTGGACTGAACTGAAATCTAACACGTGCGATGGATCACCTTGATACCTCCAGAGCATCGAAACATGAAATACCGGATAAACTCCTGCCAAGCTGGGAGGTAAGGCAAGCTCATAAGCAACCTCCCCAACATGCCTCAATATCTCAAAAGTTCCAATAAACCTCGGACTCAACTTTCCTTTCTTCCCAAATCTCATAACGCCCTTCATAGGCAAAACCTGAAGCAGAACCCGCTCCCCAACCATATAGGAAACGTCACAAACCTTCCGTCCGCGTAACTCTTCTGTCGGGACTGGGCTGTACGGAGTCCATCCTGAATCACCTTAACCATCTCCAAGCATCCTGAACTAAGCCTGTGCCCAACAATCTAGCCTCACCCGGCTCAAACCAACCCACCGGGGATCTATACCGCCTACCATATAAAGCCTCATACGGTGCCATCTGAATACTGGACTAATAGCTGAATTGGGCAAAATCACTTTTTGACCGAGAGGTATTGAGTGGGTAACGTAAAGTTGAGAGCTATAATACACCCCAATCAACAAAATAAGTATTAACGTATTTAACCCATTAGGCGAACACCTAGGTTAAGGTCACATCCATAGGCCTATTTAGAAAAACACCAAAAACAGTCATTCGCTTCTAGTTTCTTTTCTTAGCTTATAATTACTAGAGTAAAATTAGAATTAGAAATCAAAACCTTTTGTGGAAGTACAATTTAGTTATTCCATTCGCTTTCGTCAAGTGTATACTCCTAACACCCCTAGTAACTCCTTGTGGAAATCGACCCCGACTCTTGTTAGGTACTATTCTTCCAAGATTGTTTTCACTCACTATTGAGTGCGGATTGAATGTGGATCGACCTGCGGAACCGCAGATGCGGTTAAGTGAGTCACACGTGTGGAATGACTAGTAAGGAATTGGGCCTAATCTAGGATAACTTGGCTAGCAAGGAATTGGGCGGAACCGAAGATGCGGTTAAGTGATTCTTTTGAGCTCGTCACTACTTTTAGCTCAAAGTTAGTTCTGTTACTTATTGAGTACATGTGGTCGGTTGTAGTCATACTACACTCTGCACTTCGTGTGTAGATTCAGGTATATCTTGACGTGGTGATTGCTAGATTCATGCTAGTACCTGCTTGAAGACTTCAAGGTAGTTGCTATGACGTCTGCATACCTTTACTCTCTTTTCCTTTATTTTCTTCAGTATTGTTCTATCACTCAAACAGTTGCACTAAGGATTTACTTTACGTTTTGATACTGAGTAGTGCTCATGTACTTATTGTCACCACATTTTGGGGACGATTGTTGTAGTCTTACTATTGTTTTATTCAGATAATTATGATATTCTACTGTTAAGTTTAATAAACCATGTTTATCCGAGCTTAGTTATATTGTGAACTGTTGGCTAGCCTAGCATGTAGCGATAGGCGCTGTCGCGGTTGCTGTGTGAGTTGCGTCGTGACAGGAGTTATACTAGTATTTTTTTCAAAAGCACTTTTAAGAAAATTGCTCTTGAAAAGAAAGTGTATTTTTCTGCTTCGTAAAACTGCTTTTGCTTGTACTTAAAAAGCATTTTTTCTTATTTTAAAAGCTTGAGAAACAACCCAACTTTAAAAAAAACAATTTTGACACAAAAAAAAAAGGTTGGCCAAAAAAGACTATAAATTGAGATTGGGCAACTTATAGGTTATGAATTATTTTGGCTTAAAAGTCCGTGCTTTTTAGCACTTTAATGTTTATCAACCACCAAAACAAGCCAACAAGTAAAGTAACTTTTAAACCAATTAGAACAATCAATAATCCGTAAATAACCCTTGTACTACTACGTGGTGCATAAATTTCTTGTTTTGACCCCAAATTCATACAGCCATACCCAACCTTTTGTTCTATGGCTTGAAAGTTCCAAATCAACATCCTTTTCCCTACTGGGAACAGAAATACAGTTATGGAATCCAAATCTGTTTTCTGGAGGGAAAAGGTCTGAAGCAAACACCTTCAATTTCATGATAGTGCCAAATTAGTTACTATTAGAATTGAAAAAAGACGGAGACAATATGGACGTTAACAAACCAATTTGGAGACTGACAGGTGAAAATCTTAGTCGGCGACTTAACCGGCAGGTAGGGTTTAGCACGCCGGAAATCGATGACGATTCTGCTATGGAGGAGAAACAGCGTCCAATACACATTCTAAAGAAGAAGCTCTCTCCTTATTTAGAAGATTTATTCAAAAAGAAGTAAGATTTCCCCCCCATTTCTTCTTGTTTCAAATTCTGAGCGAGAATTGTTTTTTTTTAAAAATAAAATAATTGTGTTGTATTCCCAAAATTATGTGCTCGTCTGTCCAGTTTGTGTTGGGTGTTTATTCCTTTGAACAACTATTTGCTAAAACCTTTGAGCTCTTTGTGGGTCTTCTTATTGCTTACTAATAATTGATTGCTTTTTGTTGTCCATCTTTTGGTGCTAATATCAGTTGTAAAATTGTAATTTAAAATCCTGATTCATCAGTCATTTTGAGTTCATATATGTTTCGTGACTGGATGACTAATCAAACCACTTAAATTTACTTGTCTCGAAGCATGATTCCTTTTCCCCTGTCAAATCTCAAGTTTATACATTGCTTAGGAGCTTGGCGAGAGAAAAAGCACTAAGGACATTGGTTGCGGAATTTGAGAGTAATGTTCGTTATGAATTTGCTGAGAATAATTTTGTCACTTTGGTACATCGATGCCAAAATTGTTTGAAACGGGGTTCTGCATCGGAGATTGATTTAGCATTACAACTTATAGGATTAGTAGTACTCACTCTTGGTGCGGGTGATGATGCACATGAGATTTATGAAGAATCATTGGTGTTTCTTCCTCAACTCCTCAACTGCAAATTATCTCTCTCTGTCAAGGTTATGGAGTGTTTGTCTATTGTCACTCTTGTTGCTGCAAGAGATTTTGTAGACACAGAAAGATCAATGGAAATTATATGGCAATTCATGAATCAGGAATCAAAATTCAAAGTAAGTTTCTTGGGCTAAAATTCAACATCCATCCCCTCCATTAGCTAGTCCAAAGGAAGTTACTTCTTTCTTTTCAAAAGTTATCTTCATATGGTACTAGTTGGAGGAACATTCGGCAAACATTATATAACCGTATGTGTTTTGCTTGTCCATTTCTATGCCAATGCATCATTAACTATGAAATAACATGTATGGAATCTTCCTTCCTTGATTGAAGATATGTATCCTTGACTAATCAAGTTTAAGCACATATTCTTGCATTAACTATATGAGTATTCACCCAAGCCAGCTGCTTTTTCGGGGGTGTGCTGGGGCTGAGGCGGTTGTTTCTTCTCATCTTTCTGAGTTGTTTTATTAGAGATATATATTGAAGCAGAGATTGTAAAATCTCTTAAAAATATAGTATAGTAATTTAAGATGTTTAATTAAGAAAACATCTTAGGGGTCGTTTGGTATGAGGTATAAGAAGGTATAAGGGTGGTATAAAAATTTAATACCACCTTAATACTCTGTTTGGTTAGCAAACCAGGTATAAGTTATCCCGGTGTTAATTTTAACACTGGGATAACTTATACCTTATAGAAGGTGGGGTAATTAGTACCGGTATAACTTATACCTTCTTCTTAGAAATTATGCAATTGTCATTCTTAATACAACATACCAAACAATGAATAAACAACAATCCCAGCATAACTAATCCCAGCATAACTTATCCTAATATAACTTATACCGGCATAACTTATACCGGTATAAATCGTATTCCAACCAAACGATCCCTTATAGTGTTGCATAACCTTTCTTTAGCATTTGACCTAAAAGAAAAATATGTTGGAAACTAAATACTTAAAGAAAATGAAAGGCAGAATTGTTCGGGACCCCCCTAAACTTGGCAACTTTTATTTAGTTTCCCCTTAAACTTCATGTGATCTTTAATATCCCCTGAACTTGAAAATTTGATAGTCTTGACCCTTCTAGATGCTGATGTGGCAAAGAGTGTGAATAGACTCTCTTTTAGGCGCGTTGGAGGGAAGAAAAATAAAAAAACCAGCTTCCAAGTGGGGCATTTTACAAATATTAGTTGCCACATAATCAAATATAATGATTTATTTGTTCCAATTGTATTTCTCGTTGTTTCTTCTTAATATACATTACATATTTTATCCCAATTGTATTTATTTTTAGATACAATGAATATATGTTTCAACGATGTATTTCTTATCTTTGTTTCCGGTCCAAATCTACAAATGTTAGTTGAAACTCCATTTATTTTAGCCAAATAAAAAAAGATTTAGCCAAAGTAATGAAGCTCAAATGGTGTTTTTTCTACAAAAAGAAAAAATATTGTATATTTTATTTTTATTTTCATGCAATGACTATTTATTTAAACTTTGCATTTTTCTTTTTTGAGTCGAATTCGCAAATTTTTGATTGGAATTTTACTACTTTTCAGCTAAAATATTTATTTAGCCAATATATGGAGTTCCAACAACATATTTTTTTAGATGCAATAACAATTTATTTTAATTGTGTATTCCTTCTTTTTCTAACCAAATATTTAAAAGTAACTTGATTAAAATATTATTATTTTTAGCCAAATAAAAAATTATAATCAAAATAACGTTGTTTCAAGTTTTGTTTTCTTTTTACGGAAAAAATGATTTAAATAGATGGTGGACTCAACAAGATAAAAATATATATTTTATTACAAAAAAATGCCACATGGACAAAAATATCCATGTGGCAGTGCGTGTGTCACACTCCCATGAATTGTCGGCGTCCAGGGGGTCGAGGCTATGAAATTGCCAAGTTCAGAGGTATTAAAGACCACGTGAAGTTTAAGGAGGAACTAAACAAAAGTTGCCAAGTTCAGGGGAGTCCCGAACTACTCTGCCAAAATGAAAATATAAGTAATTCGATATGAAGTAGCTTATGGAACCTCTGAATGAGAACTAGCTTTGGACTATGTTAAAGTACGCATCAGAGCATCACCATTTGCATTCTTTTTATTACTTATAGTTGTTCAAAGGAGGAAGAAATTTTAATTCGATTCATCACTGCGAATCCTTAAGCTAGTGAGAGTGCTAAGGGAAAAATAAATACGTGGATTAGCAGTAAGCAATGTTGTTTCAGTACTAATTCCTTTCCCAGAGTATGGTTCTTTATGTAGTAGACTTTGTAAACCTATATATTTTAAGTCGTTTTGATGATGAATGTTCTACTTTAATGAATTTTGCTATAGTTTGCCAAATTTATGTGAGGGTTTTTTAAAAGCTGTACATTTTGAAATTTCAGGGGACCAAACACCCGTCATCCAGGACTGCTGCAGCAATATCAGCTTGGGCTTTCCTTCTTTCAAACATTAATAGATGGAGTATTGATCACAAAAAGTGGAAAGGGTATACCACGAAAATTATTTAGTGTAGTTAGTAGAATTTCCGATTGCTAGTATTCCTCTTAGTGTTTTAGGTATTTTTCTGATATGATATATTTCACTTTGCTAAAAGTGGTGAAGCTGATGCCTTCATTCATTGGCACAGATTGATCCCTTTTCTTCTAAAAAAGCTCGAGGAAAATGATGAACATGTTAATGCTGCTAGCATTGAAGCACTTGCTATAATTTTTGAAAATGGCAGTCTTGAGAAATTTTCAAATCAAGCAGAAGAATATGAAAATACAAAGAACATGAAAGATGACATAATGAAGCATGTGAAGAGAGCATGCAATGGCACCAAACAAGATGCTTCAAAAATTCTCGAGGTATACATATATCTTTTGTGGTAATAAATATCCATATTGTATTCTGTCTTCCAAAAGGCCCAACACTTCGATTGCAGGATGATTACAATAAGACGACCTCCCTCACCTTATGCGGAACAAGACTTACCTTTAGTACCTGGTCACAATTGAAACAGGTTTCTTAGCCCTAACATCTTTGTTTCCTAACATATGTTACCGATTGCTATTCTTTTGGCTTACCTTTTCCTCTTAAAATTGGACTTCAATTACAGATAAGTTACATAAGAAGATTTTTAGGTTATGGTTTTACAAAACACATGATGGTGAGTTTCGACATTTTTGTCTTCATCTCCTTGAACACTAATTACATTTGTAATGCAGCTGATTATTTGCTTGATAACAGGAAAACGAAAACCTCCGCAACATATTTAACTTTGTACCGGCGACGAAAACTAGTGGCGTAGAACTGTATAAACCTAAATTTGAAAAGGTGAGCTTTTGTGAGTTCTCCTTGTGTTTTGTGTTAAAATCACCCGTGATGTTCCTTTCCGTTCCGATAGAATCTAGAGTGCAACTGATTTTCCATTTATCTACTTGATATTGGCTGGCACTCCTAAGATTATTTTTATTCCATTCACTTCCTCCTGCTTTTAGTCATTTTGTTGCCTTTTCTTTTCGTGCTCCTACTTAAACTCTTTAAGCAGTAATAACATCTTGCTTTATATTGCCCTTTTAAGGTGGTTGTTCGGGTATTCTTACCCGATGTAAGAAGAGAAACTTGCTCAAAGGTATGCAGTTACATGATTAAGTAATCTTTATTTGAACATTTATTTTGCTGTTGTTTCATGACATAGGTTTTGATTTTAACAATGTAATTTCTGAAGCTATTCGTGTAATATTGAGTCGTCACTAAGATCTACATGTGTTTTCCTTTTCCTTGCAGAGGATGAATATGTCCCCTAGTTCTCTAGTGAGCAAGGGAAGGACTAAGTTGATGAACAAGTATAGGAGTCTTACAGAGGTGTGTTTGTTGGTATTCAGTTTGTATGCTTTATTATACTCATATGCCACTTCGATTGGCTCATTTTGCGCTTTATCATGTTTATATTGAGCAGGACACTAAGGCCGGGCATTACATTGCTGATGAAGATCTTGATTGAAATATTGTTTCAATTGGTGTAAATTCTTTGCCATGTTATTGAATTATAAAATTTTCAGGCATCATTTATTTATATCTTCACTGAAAGTGATTCCTTTTCTTCTTACTGTTTTATGATTTCTATACATGATCTTTCTTATTCAAGAGATGTTTAAATATATTCATTATCCAAAGCGGAACACAAAAGATAGAGAGGTAGAAGAAAAAGAAAAAAGAGGATGGAAAATAATTAAAGATATTGATTCCTAATTCCTAAAGTAATCATTTATACTTTGTAGTAAATATATAGAACATGAACAGAACTATTTATGGAATTTCAAGACATTCCGTTTCATCTCACATACATCTTACTCCAAATCCTACTTACCATTACTCTATCAACATAGTTTAACAAGTGTCCTCACCGCATAATCAAGTCACATTTTTTTGTTCTATTATAGTATTTTATAATTGCAATTAGTATGTTTGCGTACAAGATTTGAATATATCTCAAGCTAACAATTTACAAAAATAAAAATAAAAATAAAATGTATTAGAAGTTCCCTATATTTTCTATTGGCATAAAAATCTAATAGGGCCGAAAAGAGTCTTAGAAAGCATATGACCTAAGGTATAACATTCTAACATGTCGAAAACATATTCCCAATTAATTGATATCGCCTATATAGATCTTTTTGTTCTATTGTGTCCTATCTTACGCTAAGTCTGCATGAATTTAATGAAATTGTTGGTCTTTTGAGACAACTTCCTTCCATGTGATTTTGGGTCTACCCCATTCCCTTATAACACCTTCACTCACTATGATTTTAGGTGCAAGAACTTTATGAAGCAATAATATAGTTATCACACGTGACCTGAGTTTCAATGAGACTACTCCTTTGCCTTGTGTCAAATTAACTGATATATGATCTGCTTGTATTGGTGATTGAAATCAATGCTTATTGGTAATGCATTTCTTTCATATCTTTCATTGTTTGTGACTTGTGGTAGTTCAATTGAAGGCCTCTATCCTGCTTCAAACCTTTCCCAATTAGAAGTTTGCAGCTTGATGTTGACACCTCTTGAAAACCTTAACCTTCAGTATCAAATTTGAGAAGGCTCCAGAATCTACATTTCGGTAGGATTTGTTAGGTTGACAGATTTCAGATTCCATGATTCTATTTATCGTGGTTTTGGGAAAACCAGTATGGCATCACAAGTCCGAGTTTCACCTCTGGTTACGTGAACTGAATTTCATGCAGCAAGGAAATGACCAATTCCTGATGTTGTCCAAGTTCTTAGCTCTTTAATTGAAGTTCAATAACAACTGTCTCTCTAAAAAACTTTTGCGGACCAATCCCAGAAATGATATTGCTGTTGGAAGCTGCAGCCTGCAGTACATACTACATAGAGTTCTCAGACAATGAGCTGTTTGGCCATGTTACTGTGACTATATATGTTATTATCTCTGAAATAAAACTTCATTGACATAAGAAAAAAGAGAAATATTCGAACTTGAACATTTTGTTTTCGAATGTAATCAATGAAAAAAGGAATGTAAGTAGGTAAGGGGGTGGATGTAGCCAAGTGGATCAAGGCAGTGCAAGGATTCAATTCCTTGCATAATTCATAAATATCATAATAAATGATTGGCTATGAGTGATAGGGTTGATGCTTGGGAACAATGTCAAAGGTCTTCTTTTAATAACTCATGGGTATGATGCACGAAGAGTTGGTAAGAAAATGGCTTTATCATTTGTCTGACCATATTACTGTGACTATATATGGTTTAGAAACGCTGGCCAGCTGACTGAGAGATGAAAGAAATTCTTCTTGCCTACTGCATCTCACCTATATTTGCAGGTGTTCAGCTGGACCAAGTGGCATTGGTTCATGTGATTTACATAGTGATGTGCATCTTACAACAATGGAATAGACCTCTCTTGTGAGGTGAAACTGGCTTCTTACAAGGGTTCTACATGCATCGTTCACATAATGGTCTTTCTGGTAAGCTTCCAGGTACCACTGGCAAAACAATTAGCGTTTGTACGAGGAACTTTCTCTAATACTTGCTTCATTGGATACTCTGTTATCTCAACCGTTGTTATACCAATTAGAGCGGGAGGGCGCCAATGGGGAAACATTTGACACATTGTATGAAGCTGAGTTAGTGCATGTGGATAAGAAGTTTCTATATGAATTTTGACCACGATTAAAGAGGTTATTTGAGTTAAAATAGATTGGCAATGAGATTGAAGATCTCAAAGAGAGACATTACTTTCCATGGTATTAAGATGATTGGCTCTGAAATTGGTTTATGGGAAGTGTTAGTGTCTTGTACTTCATGAAGTTGTCATGGAGAGAAGGTATTGGAAGGTTAGTGATGGATTTTCTTTATGTTTTTTAATTTCAAGCGGAAAATGTAGGATGCTAATATTCCTTAACATAAATCCCTCCTCTTTACTTCTTGTTGGATGTTTTAATTTTTTAACATCACCCACACTGTCCAACCACACAAGGCAGTTTTGATGAGACTAAAGATATGATGGAACTAATATTTGCATACTGAACAAAGTACAATAAGAAACAGATAAATGAAATTAATACCTGTGGATTTGGAGAAAATATTAGGCCTTTCTTTTTCATTGTAGTTTCAGGAAATATGGTGGATTGGGGGTTGACAATTTGTGAAACGTTTGAACTATCTTTTTTTGTAATTAAGTTACTTTGTTGTGCACTTGAAAGACTATTGTGATAACTTTTCATTTCTCTTCAGGCTGAACCATGTGCTGAAGCGTAAACCAACAAATGCTTCCCTACTGCATTGAAGATAAGACCTGTGGTTTCTGTCCAACTTCAAATCAGTTTAATGTGAGAATACTCTTTCAAAGTCCCTACTTTTTCAGAAATGCAATTCTTTCAGGCATCTCATTCTCATAAACCGGCTGCACCTACACCTACTTCTCTTTTCTAATGAAGTCACTTCAATTGTCCAGCTATAAGATTGTTTGATATTTTCTAGTAGACTACCTCCTCAATCACTTCATTATGTTCTCTAAAACGGACATTTACCTCTTTCTCCTTGACAGTACCTTGTCAGCTAAGCAATCTTATTCCCCTACCTCCTCAATCACTTCTTTTTATCATTGTTTTAGAGAACCCATATAGCCTTCAGAAATGAAGAACCAGGTGGTCTGGCACCTTAGCATGAACTTTGGCCCCTGAGTGATTTGGCCAAAGTTCATGCAGTGCATCAAATGACCTGTTCCTGATATTCTCCAATATCACTGAGTGATAATGTCAAAGTTATGTAACAGCAACCTCTCAAAATTCCTTCCATCTTTTGTTGTTCATCCTATTGATCTCCATACAAACAATTCACTTTGAAGTCTCCCTCCATATTAGAGCTGCATTTATCTTTGTGGCAACCAATGCTAAATCTAACAATAACAATCTCTGGTGAACTACCTTATTCAGATCTAGAATGTTGAAGCTATAGATCTTTTCAGGTGGCATTCCATGTTAGATAAGAGAACTTTCCATAACCAGATACGTATTGGTCCTTTTCCTAGATTCATCACATTTCAAAATCTAGAGCTTCTGAAATTGGTGCGTAATAGATATGCAGGGAATCTACCGCAGTTTGAGGACAAAATGCAGAGCCTATTTTTTTTATTGGTCTTGCGTCAAAAATCTTTTTTGGACCAATCCCAGAAACGATACTGCAGTTAGAAGATGTAGCCTGAAGTGCATAGATTTTTTAATGAACTTTTTGGCCATATCGCTGTGATTCGTTTGAAAACACTGGCTAGCAGACTGTATGATGGGATTCTTCTTGCCTATGAATCTCATTTTCACTTATATTTGCAGGTATTCAGCTGGACCTAAGTGAAATAGGTTCATGTATATGTGTGAGAATTTTTCAGCGTGGCAGAGTTGATGACACCCTTGTAGAAGGGTGTCTACGCCAGTGCCAATGGGGAGACATTTTGATAAAATGTACTATGAAGAGTTGGTGCATGTTAACAACTTTCTATATGCGTTTTGACCATGATGAAATAGCTTATATATGCTGTTGATGGATTTGTTTTTGTATATTTGAAGCTGAAAATGTAAGATGTTAATAATCTTTAACATAAACGAACACTATTTTATCTGGTATTTGGGCTGGTAGGATGTAACATGTACTCATAGAACAGTTGAGTAGCACAAAATTTAATTTCTAACATCCCCCACACCGTTGCACGTTACTCAGCAGTTTGTTAGCGTACGGCGTATTCGTTCAATGTAGGAAGACGTACTACTGAGATACTATAAGAGAAGTATTTCTAAGTTCAATTCCATTACTTTTAGATTTTGATGGGTTGCAAATTAAGTTGGGACGAAGGCTTTGAGAAGAACAACTCAAAATTACTTTGCTTCAGTCCCATATGACTTCATTAGTGGAATCCAAAAGGAAAGAGATTGTTTACCTCCCGCAAATCATTTCTGTGGTAAAAGAAAAAAAAATATTTTGAAGGAAATGTAAGAACTGAAATCATTTTGGTAACTTGACTATAAAGTATCCTGGTAGGAATGCTTTTAGCTAGTTTACTCTCTGAAAAATGCATTCCGAAGGAAACACACGTGAATTTTTAACATCATACCATTACCACGTGGATAATTCAAAACATATTTTCTAGGATATATGTTGAATCATAAAGTGTTGTTAATTTCCTGAAAATCCTACTTCTCCAGGACTACCAATATGAGAGTGTGGATGGTTCATTCCATTTGGTGCAAAATCCAAACGCACCATAGAAATGCCAAGAGTGTTAAGAATCCCGGAACTTGAGCAATATTTACTGCAGTCAAACGGAATCCAAGTGCATTTGACGTGTTGCCTGCTACTGAGATAGATAGAAGTCATCTGCTTGCAAGCCATGCCATTGAGGACAAGCAGCTAGCAGTACAAAGTTATTCATGGGCACTAAAAGGCAATCACCTTTTTAATTAAGTTGAGTTTATATTGTATTAAAGTGTAATAATGTTAAACTATAATGATGGTGTAAAGTATTGTTTACTCTAAATACAGGTTAAATTCACTATTTTAACAGAAAAAGCAAGTACAAGGAAGAATATAGGAAACCATACCTGAGGAGTCGGCTACACAAAAATCTTGGAGTGGACTATGACCAGATGCTAAAGCAACTTAATTAACAGATGAACAGAAGCCCTAATACCAGAACGTAAATTTGTTTTACTTAGAGAGAATTAATGAATTGCTTATAGCTAGGAACAAAATTTTAGAGTTGCAGATGATAAAGGCTTTCACTTAAGACTGCATTTATAGTGGTCGAAAAACAGAAAGTTTATTTATGGCCACTCGGGCCAAACTTATAACCTCCTAGTCCAAAATTACAATATACGTTTTATAGCCCGAAAGTAATTCTAGTGGCTAACCTAAAAGTAATTATAAGAGGCTCAGATCTGCAAAGACAGATTATGGAAAAGAGGCGACCACGCCATGGCTGCAAAATCACTGATTGCATGCAAAAGAAAAATCCTTTGAATCGCCGGCCGTCCGGTGATTTGCCATGCCAAGATACGGGTCAAATAGTCTCTATGCCCGATCCAGTTAGCTCAGAATCCGGATAAAATATAATCACTGTCTCAATTGTTATATACCAAAAAAGAGGAACTAAAATCACAGAGACAGAGAAAGAGAGATCTGGCTATTTTTTTTTTTTAAGATAAAAGGTACTTATATTAATAATAACTAGGGTACGTGACCCGTTGGACTGTCGTTATTACACATGCCTCGATGGGCTATAGTTATGCCTTCCAAGGCATTGTCATTACCTAATACAACCATATTACAACACATAGCAGTTGAACATTTTCTTACATAGACAAAACCATCCTGATCTTTGTGATAGGCATCTATTATAAATTCAGGTGGCAAAACAAAGGTACATAACTTATTATAGCTAGTTTGCATAAGAGCTGCTTTTGCCAAAAGATGTGCTACCATGTTCCCCTCGCGAAAGCTATGCTTCATTGTGATCTCCCCTTATAGCAGTGCCTTCTCCATTAACCACTTGCATTCATAGATTAAATCATTGTAAGTTGGATAATCATCGTGAAGAAAATGTATGATCTCTGTGGCATCCGTCTCTACTTCAACGGGGAAGATTTTTTCCTTGATAATTAGTTGAAGTACATGTCGTAATGCTTGTAATTCCGCTTGGATTAGCGTTATTGCATGGATTTTTTTGAAATAGCCCATTCTCCATTGGCCATTGTTATTATGTATGGATCCACTAATTCCCCCTTGTAGACAGTTGCTCCTAAAGGCACCATCTGTGACGATCTGGCCGGTCGTCTTAAGAATTTACGTCCCGATCCCCTATCAACTGCTTTTCCCGTGTTTATTTCTGCTATTTTGATTTGCCGAGATGTTCGGTTTTGAGTTTCGGAGAGTTTTGGACACTTAGTCCCTAAATGAGAGCTAAGTGTTGGAAAATTGATCGTAGTCGGAACAGTTTGAAGATGGCCTCAGAATGGAAATTCGATGGTTTCATTAGCTCCGTGGGGTGATTTCGGAGTTAAGAGCGTATTCGGATTGTATTTTGGAGGTCGGTAGCTAATTTAGGGTTGAAATGCCGAAAGGTCGAATTTTGAAATTTCCGGTCCGATAGTGAGATTTTGATCCGAGGGTCGGAATGGAATTACGGAAGTTGGAGTAGCTTCGTAGTATGGAATGTGATGTGTGTGCAAAATTTCAGGTTATTAGGACGAGGCTTGATTGACTTTTTGATCGAGAGCGTATCTTCAGAGTTTTGGAATTTTTAGGCTTGAATCCGTGGTTGATTTGTCGTTTTGATGTTGTTTTAGGTATTTTAAGGATTGGTATAAGTTTGGACAGTGGTATTAGACTTATTGGTGCCTTTGGTTGAGGTCCCGGAGGCCTCAGGATGATTTTGGATGGTTGACGGAAGGATTTGGAGTTGCAACTTCAGCTGCTGGTATCTGTCATAACCGCACCTGCGGTTGGGTTCCATAGGTACGGAGGCGCAGAAGCGGCGGAGAGATCGCAAAAGCGGAAAAGGGAGAAGCCAGCAGGGATCGCAGAAGCGGGAGCTTCACCGTAGAAGCTGCCCCGTATCTGCGAAGAGTTAAACCACAGGTGCGGAAGCTGGGCAGTCCCAAGGCCGCATAAGCGGAATAACTGGGCAGAAAGATATAAATTCTTGCCTTCAAGAAATTTAGCCATTTTTCACCTCTTTTCAAACGGGAAAAAGCTTGGAGAGCACTTTTCAAGAGAGATTTTCAAAGAAATTCATTGGGGTAAGGCCTTTGGTCCCTAAACTCGTTATTGGAATGATTTTTATCAATTTAAGTATGATAAATTAAGGAAAATCAGTGGTAATTTGTGGGTTAGGGCTTAACTAATTAGAGGCCTTTGAATGATGATTTGAGAGACCATTTGAGGTCCGATTTTGGTACTTTTAGTACAATTGAACTCGTGAGAGTGTGAGGATTTTGGAAATATAAATTTTACCTGATTCCGAGATGTGGGCTCGAGGGGTATTTTGGTCATTTTACCTAATTTCGCGTATTCTCTTAGAATTTCTTTGTAAAATCAGTTACTTGAAGTGTTATTTATATTATGCAATTGAATTGGATAGATTTGGGTTATTTGGAGTCGAGTACTCGTGGCAAGAGCGTGGTTTCAGATTGATTTGAGCCGGTTCGAGGTAAGTGGCTTGCCCAACTTTGTGTGGGGGACCTTCCTCCTTAGGATTTGGTATTACTGTTAATTAAAATGCCTTGTACGTGAGGAGATAAGTGCGTACTTGTTAAAAATCCAGTTTTCATTAAGTAATTACTAGTATATTTCTTTTCATGTTTATATTACCTGCATTTAAAGCCTATTGTTATCTTAGGAAAACATGTCTAAGTGTTTTAATTGCCTTATTTGCTCAAACTGCTTTACCTGAATTTCGTGCATCATGCTAGGCTAGAACTACTTGTTTGCCTTGATATGGAATTGACATTTCTGAATGTTTTCCTGATGCTGCTGTGTAATTACATTTGTGACTACAAATGTGGGATTCCGGTAGCTCCCCCTTGTCTGTTTATTTGGGACTACGGATGTGGGATTCCGGTAGCTCCCCTTTGTCAGTTTATTTGGGACTACGGATGTGAGATTCCGGTAGATCCCCCTGCACGGTTATATGGAATTACGGGACTGCACCCGGTAGATTCCCCCAGTACTAGGTATTTACATTTGGGACTACGGGACGAGATCCCGATAGATCCTCGCGCACTATGAGTTGGACTACGGGACGGGATCCCGGTAGATCCATTGGATATGTATATTTGGGATTACAGGACGGTATCATGGGAGATCCCCAATTGTTATTTTAGTACTGAGCCATATTTCTTTCCGTGTTTACCTTGCCTCTGTAATAGTTGTTTTTCCCTTTATATCTTGTGTTACTTTTACTATTGTACTTGTTTATACTGTTCTGTTCTACGCTGTCGAACTTTATATTTTATTTAACCTTAATAGGGTCATGACCTTCCTCATCACTACCCGGCCGAGGTTAGGCTTGGCACTTACTGAGTACCGTTGTGGTGTACTCATGCCCTTTCTGCGCATGTTTTTCATGTGCAGATCCAGGTACTTTGACTTAGTCCTATTACCCTTGAGGCGGGGCGACTGTTCCAAAGACTTCGAGGTATATCTGCCGTGTCCGCAGACCGAGGAGTCCCCTTCCATTCTATCTTGTAGTGATAGCCCTTCTATTTTCTTCTGTTGATGTAGACATTCCGGAGTTAGAGCATTTTTATTATATTCGTAGCTTGTGATTTATGGGTTTTCAGGTTTTGGGAAAGTGTATTGGTTTTAAGAGTTAATATTGTGTATGCCGAGTGACATTTTTAAATGCTGTTTTATTACTCTATTTCTGTTTTAAATTGTTTTCTTCCGCAAATTTGGTCTATCTTCTACATCTTAGGCTTACCTAGTCGTAGAGACTAGGTGCCATCACGATGGTTCACGGAGGGTGAACCAGGGTCGTGACAAGTTGGTATCAGAGCTCTAGGTTCATAGGAGTTATGAATCACAAGCCGATTTATTAGAGTCTCGCTGATCGGTATGGAGACGTCTGTAC